GGTGGATTCATTAAGAAGAAAGAAGAAAAACAGTAATTAGGACACATCAAAAATCATTTAATGCAATTTTGCAAATTTTCAGCGAAGTTTTGTTCACATTCGTTATTAATTAAAAAAGGTTGAACCTCAATCTTGAGTGTCCCCATCGTTTCGCCCTTATAGTTTTGTGAGGGAAGTAAATCGCTAGATGTGTCCCAGTAAAACAGGGAACAAGAACTGCCTGTACACTGCGTCTACAAGGAGTTCAATTCTATGTCTCAGGAATCGAACCTCCATACTGCGACTGTCAATAAGATTTGAGATAACCTCATTCTTGTCATTCGTTATTAATTAATTATACGTAGTATGAAGCATTTGCTTGTTGATGAAGGAAATACGTACCAGTTTGACTTTAATGGATTTGATTTCTTTTTTCCATTGGTTGCTTTTCTTTTCTTTTGAGTACTATACCTTCACTGCAAGGAACGGTGTGAAATTAACAATCTTAAAATGTATAGTCGTACAATCCATTGCCAACAATAAAAAGTATTTTAAATCTTTATTAAGGTTTTGTTCGGTGCGGATTAAAATTAGATTTTAATCTAAGTCAAAGTCAAGTAACTTATTTTAATCACATGTTTCATGAGTCTACAACATTTCAACCATATATTTCAATTTTATTTTTTTTAATCAAAATTTGCTAAAACTCTAATTTTGATCCCTATCAAATAGGAGCTAATCTTCATGTGATCCTTGTAAAATCTTGTATCACTTCAAATATCTGAGAAAATATACTATCTATATAAACTTAATCATGTGAGAGTCACATGGTGATTTCGTAAAGAGTTGACGATTTTCAGGTTTTGGAGGTTGACTGTGAAACTACATCAACTTGCTGCTTAAAAAATTAGTCGAGCACCAATGAGGCATTTTCTCCTATTTAGGGTATATTTTTGGTAGTTTAGCAATTGGAAAAATTAATGTAAAATGAGGAATCTTTTAAAATAGGATTTTGCCAAACGACCTGCATGGTTGACACAACAGGTGACCGTACCCTCATATACCGAGGTAGGTTCTACTTAAATTTAAAATTCCACCCGCCTGTGTTGTGTGTGCGCGGTCATGCCCGCAGTCATTCCTGCGGACACTGTAATTCGGTCTTTTAAAATACGTGTTCATTAATATTTTATTGAGTTAATTGATGTGTGTCTCAGTGCCCAAGGGACAAAAATAATGGGGTATGGTCCAAAAATTTGAACAAAAAATATATCGGCTTAAAATTTTTAATACATTGCTTGATTAGCCAAAACTAAAAATACCCAATTCTATTTCCAGTAGGATAAAATTTTTTAATTGAAAATAGAAACAAACACGAAAGCACAATATATTCACTATTTCATTTATCAATTTTACAATGCCCTAAAGGTGGTATAATTAATGGATCACTTGTTAGATTGAACGATATCAATCAAAAGAATAACAACGCTAGGAACGACCTTGAAAAAAATAAAAGCTCCCAAAAAAGGTCAAAAAAATAAAAATAAAATAAAGGAAAAGGAAAAGGAAAATCACCCATATACCCAATCTTTTCAAGGACATCTTGAATTTCTTCCTGGCCCTCCATAATAAAAATAATTTCCCCAAACCCTATTGATTCCCCCTTGAATATTATAGCAATTTGGACGATCAGCCAAAACCCTAAGATTTGATAATGGGATTAAACTATTATCCCAATCAACCACTTGAAGATTTCTAAAATAAGATGCTTTTCCAAACCCTTCTCCTGCAAAATGTCCACTGCCCATTTGTGTTGATGTGTGGGAATTTGAGGCCCTATTATTCACAACTTCTCCACCAAATTGTACCATACTTGCATGATCTCTTAGGTGTGTGAACAAAAAAGATGGCCAATAACCCACCAAATCCCCATTGCCAAACTTTAGCCACCAATTTCCATGCTTTGGGTCCTGCAAAATTACATAGTAACGAGGTTTTTCAGGTTACGTTATCATCTTGTGAGCAATACGAACTCAGTATGTTTAAAGAAGAAGTGTATTGTAGAGCATGATTATATTCATCCCCCGCAACTTTATTTCTCAAGAAATTTGAAGATCCTGAAATTGAGATTTTCAATACCAAAATATTCTAATAATTAAGTGAACTTATTCATGTTTAGATGGCAGCTCAAGATTGACCATCATGAACACTATATATTCCCTATAGAGGTTCTATTGAAAGGCACAAGTAATAATAAAAATGGAAGACGATCACAAGAATGAAACTTTAAAATTCCGAGAAATGCTTTCGGAAAATAGTTGAATAATTGTAATATCTATCTTAAAAGTTTTTGACATTTCATCAATTTATTCGTTTTTGCTAATTTTACTAATCTAGGGTCAATATTTTTGAAAAAAAAAAAAATTGGAAAAAGAACTCATTTACACAATCTTGATGTTTCTCCAATAATAGTTTAACCAAAATTGCATTGACTTTTCATAAGAAAACTATATTTTAACTTGAAAGCCAAAGTACTTAAACAAGCAAAATTTCAAGGACTGAAGAATAAATATACCAAAAAACTTAAATTAAAAAAAGAAAAGAATTTAAATTAAGAACCCCATAAATTTTAATATTATAAGTAAAAAAGAAAAATTACCTTCCATATTAATAAGCTAATATCAAATTGGCCACCATTATATGAAGAAATTGGAGAAATTGCAGCCCCAATTGCTATTCTATTGTTAGTCTGAACAAATCCTGAGCACAGCAAATTGTAACAGCCTGTTGCTTGATATGCATCACTCTGCATGTCATAAGTAATTATTTTAAGGTGTAGTTCAACAAATTATTTGAAAATTATAATTATAATTAATTTAAAAAAAAAAAAAAAATAATCTTACAGTCCAGTATGTGAAGAACCTAGGATAGTTGTCCCCGTACAGCTCCGGGCTGACCTGTTGGAAAATAATTAACTAATTGATTTAATACTTATGCTTATATTAATTACAAAATTTTAATCAGATACCGAGGTGGTTGAAAATTTAATTGCTGCTTTAATGGCACGACGGTGGATTATGAACTCAATCAAATTAAATCTCCCGATGTACTCAAAAGTTACTTTGATGTAAATTCATAATTACTTCTCGTTTATTAGTAAACAAAAAGTAACTTAAAAGTAATTTTAGTAGGGAGGACTATGTACTTGCCTGCCAACCAGCTTCAATGGTGTTGAGATCATCGCCAAATGAACCAGAAATTACCCACAATTGAGATAAGCTGAATTCATATTGATTTACAACTCTTGGTGCCCACACATTTATACTTGCTTTTGCTCCATAATATTGGTCTCCACTCACATACCCTACAGCATGCTGCAACCCAAAAAAATGTAAGTCGTTACTTCGAGTCGACTGCATAAATCATTTTTCACCACTCTGTCCGATCGATTGGACTAACCTCATGACCGTTGCTCGAAGAATCTCTTCGAATAGGCCTTCGTATTTTTCTCCCGAATCGTCGTATAGAACTAGCCCTCAAAAAATCTTGCTCTCTCGTTCTTCTAATTGGAATGGTGCCTTCTGGGCAAAATTCACCAGACAGAGCCCACAACTGAACATTTTCTTCAAACATGCTGCTAGTTGGAATCTGCCCTTTTGGCCTTTCAGGTAGATCCTGTAATTCAAGAAAAAAGATTACTAAGAATTTTAGGCGGTGTTTTTCTTGTAGTGGACTTCAAATTTATCGGAGAAATGCTTAAATTCTTGTGTTTACCATTGGTTTTTGCCCTTTCAATAGAGGATGATCAAAAGCTGGTTGTTGATGAGATAATACGCAGTCTATAAGATCACCATCAGGACTCTGCAAAACAAAAGAAATGTAAAATCAGATTATTTAGGCAATAAATAAGCAATTAAAGAAAAAAAATAAGCAATTAATTACCAGAATTGTCTTGAGAGAAGGCTTATTGATCTTCATCAGACGGTTTCTAATAAACTTCATCTTCAGTGATTCTTTCTTTGGATGAAAATTCTGATTGCTGCCATTGAAATTTACAGATTCCACTGGACAAACAGGGAAAATAAAGAACAGAAAGAAAACAAAAACTAAAATGATTTGGGAGATTTTGCAACAGCTAGAGGCCATTTTTGAGGAATGAATTTTTGTACATTGGTGTTGTCTTCTTGTGAAACCAAAATTAATCCACTTATTATGGAAATAAGCAATTCCCATAAAATCCATCCAGCATAGAATGAGAATTCTAAGGAAAACCAGCTCACTCTCTCACTATTTCCAAAGCTTAAAAGCTATTTAAAATAAGTAAATCCTCTTTCTCTAAACTTCTATACTCTGGTTTTATATTACAACTTCTAGGCATGAATCAATAAAAAAACAGAGTAAAATGATGTACGAGAATTTTTGGAGCTCTGCCCATGTGAGGGGTGGGGATATAAGTATGGAGTTGTGACCAAGACATGTAATAATTATAATTAGTTTTGAATATTGAATGTAATTAAGCTGAAAGTTTGGTGGGGGTGATGGGGGATGTTGTGTTTCCAGTCTCCAATACAAAGACTGAAACTTTTTACTTTTTGTGTCAAATTTTACAGGGCAGAATGGTTAGTGAAGCTGTGCTATTATTCTTTACTTTTAGGTCATGAGGCAGATAGGAATTACACTTGATTCTGGGTTTACTAAAGTTCCTTGCTTTGGGTGTTACCCTTTCACACTTCCCTAGATGCTCTGCGTCTAATATTTATATGTGTAGTACTACATTTACACTTTTTCGTATACATAATCTTTGACACTCCTCTCACATGTGAGAGGATGACCCTCTCCTTGTGAGGGGGGTGTCATCTATTATGTAAATCGAAAGTATATAAGTAGTTTTATTCTATTTATACATGTACATACACATTTATATAGGGTTCGTGTCCATAGATTTGTGGTTAAACTAAAATTAATAAATAAGATAAAAATGAGACTATCAACAAGTCGACACGATACCCATTTGTGTAATTAAGGGAAATACAACTAACTAGGTGATTAGGGTGTGCTTGACATAAAGAACTCATTAATACTGAATGACAATAGAAAAAGGAAAACGTTAAAACATTGTTCACTATACCTAAGATGACATTACGAGGTGCCAAACATGAATGTATTGTATTGACCTATCCAAAACATGCTCTTGTTCATAAGCATGATGTTGTCTCTTTAGCACATGGTAGAAAGATGACGAATAGAAGATTGCATATGTACTAGTGTTGTTAAAATTGGGTCGAAAAAATTTGGAATAAGTCCATATATAACCTAAAAACGTGTAAATTATCGAAATCGGGTGATTAAATTCAAAAGTGGTAAACTATCAATCTCAGATTCTCAACTAGTAGATATATCGGAAAATTCAGTTTTATTTATTTTTTCACATTTTTTATTATCAATGCGACCCGGTCCTAACTCTTTAATTTCCCTGATTCTCGTTCCGATTTTTAAAATATTGATATTGAAACATATTTAAGGCATAAAAATTGTATTTTTATTTTATTTTATTGCAAGGACATCCTTTTGAACCAGTCACTTTCTATGAGGAAAACTAATTATTTTACTATTTGTTATTTACAAGTCGTGTGGTGGCACGCGGGCATACAAGTGCATGCGCATTTTGGATTTCTCAATATTTGGGGGCTAAACATAAAAATGTTTTTGCTTGATAATTTTCTATATTATTTTTATCCTTTAAACAGAGCCGACTCAAGTACTAGACAAGTCAAGGGTTGTCTAAAACTCCCTATTTATCGAAGACCTAAAGTTTTTTAAAATTTACATATTTTGCCATTTTTTCTTTTGAATTTTTTTGTTTGTGATTAATAAAATTGTGAATAAATTTTATTTAGTAATATTAAATATATAAATTATTTTCTCCGTTAGAGGTTAAGTTGATTAATCAATCACTCTACCAGATTATAAGTCGACAACTATATAAGAAAAAAATAATTAAAAGATCTTCTGACTTACATGATGGTGATTTTCAACAATATTACTGATGATATTATCGTTGATAATCATTGAGAAAGATGTGCGATTATCAACGATGATATTGTTGTCGATAATTTTATCCGAGTCACTAACATACATTAATTTCAATTCGGATCACTATCAGTCTTACTAATGATGATTATCAATGACTTCTTGTTCCTGATTGAAGGACCACTTGTGATTCTTGACAACATACTAGCAATTTTATCGTCGATAATGATTGACGAAGTTGTGTCAGTGATTACCAATGGTATAGCTTAGGTCTATTTGTGTCAATACCACATTTCTTTCAATTAAAATCATCAATTGTTATATAGCGTAACGAATCACCGACTGAATTTCAGTTGTTGATTATTTACTCCAATCGCCCAACTGATTTTTCCCCCCTAAAGCCCCAGTATTGCTTGAACGGACACAGCCTTTTAATTATATATATTAAATTGCATTAAATCAAGGCCAACTAACTATTAGCATGAAATAGATTAGGCATTTATATCCACCCACTGATAATTTCTCTATCATTCTATCTATAAATACTGTATTATTAGACACAATAAATCATCTATTTTTTGATATTTTTTAATTCACTGAATTCATTATGAAATTTTCCTGTTGTAACATTATTGGAAAATTTATTGCAAGCATTAAAAGATGGCAAGTACATGTTTAAGTAACGGTGTGAGTGTAATATCTCATTGACACTTTAGTGTATTTGATGCAATTGGATACATTGACCATGTTAATTGTATTGAAATTGGATGAAAATTTTCACTTTTCTATGTAAAAATGAGTCTCTGAGCAAAACTCGACTTAATTAGTTCCCACCGTATTCGGCACT